TGAGAATCCTCAACAGCACATTTTAAGAAGGTCAGAACCAAAAGTCAATCTGACAGATCTGAGAGTCAAAAATGAAGTATGTGTAAATATGCAATTGTTCAAACTAAATAAGACCAGAGACAAATCTTGAAGCTTTAAGTCTGAGCTTCTCTTTTGAAAAACAATTTTTATTTTATCCTACTGTTAGTTTGTTGGTGCTGATGCTGCAATTCACAGTCATTGGTATCTACCATTGTCACCCCTATGTAAAGGCTTCTTTGAAAAATGGAAATTTAATTTTATACTTCAAACACAATGAACTGCTCAATGAAGAGAGGTGCAGAATTTCCGCCTGTAAAAGCTTGAGGAATGTGGGAATTGATCTTCTTACTTAAAATTGATTTTCAAAGAAGTAATCTAAATACCGCAGTCTACATAACTGAAACTGGAGAGAACATCTTAAAAACATAGTTTTTTACTTCTTCTCTTTCCTTATCCCCAAGGCACTTTGGAACTGCAAAGGACATTTTCTTTTTCTACAAATGTATTTTTTTAAGAAATCCCCTCAGACACAACAGCTGTTCATGTCCAAACTGATGAGCATTTAGCCTAAACAAGATGAAGATTAAATAAATAAGTTGTGCAGCAGAGATTCTGACACAAAAACACTGCTGTCATCTTCAGTGCTACAGATACACCCAATAATCTGCTGCTTTGTTTATCGATCAGAAAGAACGGAAGAAATTAATGTGGAGAGTAAACATTGAAGCACTCAGACCATCATCAGGAAAACATACATCAAATTTATTGCACATGTGAACAAGCACACAAAGAGAGATGAGTGTCTGTTTTATACGCTGAAAGGAAAACAGTAGAGCTGCAGCAGATTATTTTTTAACTGCAATGATGAGTAGAGATAGTTTTAACTAACGGATGTTCAAGGTTCGAGTAAAACAAAGTCCCTGATGACCTCTACAGGTTAAAGTGTGTCACAGCAGAATCCACACAGGCTCTAAAGTCAGTCTCCAACTTTTTACATATGTTTCATTAAATATTTTCTCTGATTTATTGCAATTTTATTGAAACAGTTTAATTCTAGAAAAACGGTTATAATCTGTACTGAGTGTTGCATCCTTTGGCATCAGTAGCATAAAAAGGAACAAAAACCTCAAATGGAATCGCTGATGTTTGCTGAAGTCATAAGTGCTTCTCTTTGGGGTTCTTTCCTAAGGAGAGTGGCGGCCTAGTGGTTAGGGCATTGTGCTTGGAATCCAGGGGTTCTGAGTTCAAGCCCAGCTCCCACAGACTGTCACTCTGGGTCCCTGAGCAAGACCCTTAACCCCACACTGCTCCCTGGGTGCTGCACAATGGCAGCCCACTGCTCCTCAAGGGGATTGGTTAAATGCAGAACGTTAATTTCGTTGCTCTGTACTTCTGACAGTGTAATGAACATAAAATGCTGGAAAAAAATGTTTTGTTAGGATTTTTTGTTGAACCCTAATAATACCTCTCTTTTACCCATTAAGGCTTCTGTTTTCACAAATATTTTGTCTAATTAGGACAAGATTTGGAAATGAAATGGAAGCATGCAGACAGAGTGGATTATTCTTAACAGGGAACTCTGTCAGTGTGCATTTGGATTGTCCTTGATCCAAAACACTGTTACCTCAATGTGGCTGGAGCCAGTTATGTCTACTATTTTACAAATAACATCTGTATGAAGTAATGATGTGATTATGGGGCAGGATGTGACCCTGGACATAAAATGCTTCCTTACCTGTTTTCCTGGGTTGATTTTCTGAAGAAGCAAGCCTGTTGGTAAGTGCTAGTTTTCTAACTTGAGCCATTTCTCTGGTAAGATAAATATTTTTGTGAAATTTGTTGTCAAGTCTCATAAACATTTAGTACATATACACCATTAAGTGTTATTTAAGGGGTTTTTTCCAGACTGATCTCTTCTCAGGAAAGAATTCTGGGAGAGAAAGCTTGAAGATGTAAACAGAGAGCCTTCTTTTACATTTTCCATTGTTTTTATTTTAAAAAATGTAGGGGAAAAAAATTCAGAAATATGATTTTCAAAAAAGATTTTGTTAGACTTTGTTCTGAGGGACTATCAAAGTAATGGGTTACAGATATAACTCTTGTTTTGACAATAAAAAAATGTAAAAAAAAAAAAAAAAAAAAAAGCTTCCAAGTTAAAGATACTTTGTTTTCTATAATGCTATACCTTAATAAAAGCTGATTCAATTGACATCCAGTACTGCTAACCGTTAGAGACTCAAGAGAGGACACAAAGCTTGAAGCATGAGACACCAAAAATTAGTCATCCTGTTATTTCTACATTTATATAATAACCACCAGTGATTTTTATATTGCACAATTTTAATGATCTATTTGTTGTAAAAGTAAAGTTTGGCAACCTCAATCATTGTTTTCAGTATGTGTAATAATAAGCATAGATCAACAGATAGACAGAAAGAAAAATAAATATATGTATAATTTGTGTATCTATTTTTATAATAGCCATTTCCAAACCGTTTAATTGCATAGAATAAAAAATAAGAACAAATTAACAATAATAGATGCAAGCTGCTGTTAAACATAAAGAAGAAGAACACTTGGAGGAGAATTGTCGAAGAGTTGGCGTTTGAAAAAAATGTTTTTTTGCCTTTCAGGGTTGGTGGCTGGAACAAAATGGCAAATCAGGTAGATGATGATGATGAGGAAGGATAGACAACAGTTACAAATGGTAAAGAGAGAGAGAGGAAGTAAAAGTGAAGAAATACGGGTTTGAGAATCAGGGAAATAAACAGGAATTAGAAGAAAGCAGTTCAGATGAAGAAAGAGTTGTGCGAAAATAATATTTAGATTCAGTGCTGAACATTAACAGTCATTTGAGCCCGATTTGGATTCCCAGGGAAATAAATAAGAAAGAAGAAGAAGAATAAGAAGAATTGGGAATGTCAAATTACTGAAGGAATGGATGGATGGAAACATGCAGGTAATTTGCAGTTATGAAGAGCAAAAAAAAATCAAAGCTTTGGATGTAGAACACTTGGGGAGAAGAGAGGTCATAGAGATACAATCGTAGAAGAGAATAAAACAGTGAAAGGAGTAAAACAGGAATATCAATTAACAAGAATTTGAATCTATTAGAAAATCCCATTTTTGGAGGTCAGGTTACCAAGATACAGAGACTGTATAAAAACATAAAGGAGAAAGGGTGACAAGCAGGTCCCTGCTGGTAGAGTTCTCAGAGTCAGTTCTACTAGTAACAGTCAAAATAGGTTTCATGAGTTTTTCAGTCCGGCCGTTCATTCCACCACCACTCAAGTGCTACAGGTGTCAGTGCTACAGACACATGGCAGCAGTTTGTAGGGGGAGGCAAAGATGTTCAAAATGTGGAGAAGAACACAGAATCGAGGAATGCAGGAAAGAAGCTGAAGAAAGATGCTGCAGCTGTGGAGGCCAACAGAGTCAACTATGGAGGATGTGATGTGAGAATCAAAGCAGTGAAAATACAACGTGTTAAAACAACAACAAATATAAGCTACGCAGAAGCAGTGAAGAGAGTTAAAGGGCAAAGGACTGGAGAATCTAATTAAGCACAGAATCAGGTACAAATGCAAAATAAAGAATAAAGAGAAGATAAGATAATTTCACTTATTCTATTCATAGACTATGTCAGCAACTGCACAGACCAAGCCAAGCATAATACTGGGAAAATCAGAATCACTGCAAAAAGAGCCGAACAGTTTTTGGGACTCAAAGAAGTCAGCTGGGAAAACATTGTTACAGGGTTGGAGATGGAGGGAAGAACAGCAGCACTTGGAATGTAAAAGATTAAGATATTGTTAATAATAGATAGTAATTATATTAGAATAGAATAGAATAGAATAGAATAGAATAGAAAATCCCTTTATTGCCCCAAAATTTCAACAAATCAAGTTGGATCATAGCACTGCATTA